TTGTTCAGGGCCTTGGAAGCTCTTACTATTAGAGTATTAGTCGACGTGTCGGCTGTCATCAAGAAAATGTTGTTAGACTGTCGTGTAGTGGACATATGACGTGGAAATTGTCAAAATAACCTTGTGGAAGAAAGCGTTCAAAGACGCCTTATACTCAAAGGATAGAATTTTTCAAATGTACCAGTGAAGAGAGACCCAAACTTGGATTGATTGTTTTGGTATAAGCAGTAAAACCATTGGGTATAGCATTTAACCAATGGTTGAGAAGAAACAAACCAAATACACCCAAATATTTCTTCTTTAGATTAGCGTAATGATATTAATTCAATGAATGATTTAAATATCATCCAAGGCCACGGACTCAGTGAAAATGACAGAAACATATACCTAGTTTGTTCAACTAAATAACATTTAACTTTTTAGCACACAATTCTGTTTTTTATTTAGATGACGACGAAATAGCCGAGTGTTTGGAGGCCATAAGGAAGAAGGGAATTAAACAGTCTAAAGGTACTCACAAGAATGCGTCTGAATTGGTAAGAGCATGTGTATTGATATTTCCTACAAGGGTAAAGTCATGCCCAGAGTAGGTTATTCTGAGCTCTTGTCTATCTCAGGGAACTACGACTACTCCTCCGCTACCTAATTTGTGTTCTTTTAAAGCCGCTCCTCCAAACGGTGTGGTTAAGCAAAATATACATTGCTTTAGAGTCAGGGTTTACTTACATTAGTCATTTCGATTTAAATTACACGACCTAACATGATTTTGTAGCGATCTTTCTTCTTGCCACAGAATATAACTTTTATTGTCGGCTGGTGAGTGGATAAACTTCTTAGCGAACATATTCTAGACTTGAGAAATCAACTAATTTGTGCAATATTAGAAGCTGCAAAGCCATTCAAACTAAAAGCTGAGACCACGCATGGTCTCTTGATTCTCTCCGTACGACAGCAATAGCATATTGTGCATGAGTGCTGTATTATTTTTCATCTTCACGAGCTCCCAACGCAGTACAAGAGTATGTCGGGTCTAATGACTTCTGTCAACGAAGCCTTGCCTGCAATATGAGTTATGATATTTACCTCAGTTAATTTAACCATAACGTACTACCTTCTCCAATCTTTCAAAAAGAAAAGGCACAAGTCCTTAAAGCATACTATAAAGGCACTCCATAGAGGTAATGCCTAAAATTTATTAACAATAACATAAAACATACGAAAATTACGGAAATACTTGTAATAAAAGTAGCATACTTAAATTACAAATCGACAGAAAGTTAAGAAGTCTTCTTGACTTTGGCCTTTAAAATTATCTTGCAAATCTCCTTGTGTCCCTGACTCCTAGCAAGCGACAAAGCCGTCTTTCTGTCCACTTTTCTTCGCACTGTAGGATTAGCCCCTGCAAATTTTCGTACGTATTTTTAACCAAATACGACAAATGACGACAGCGATGTCTATTTTGGTATAATCTGTTAGGTCAGGGCTCACTTAATCTACTTCGTCAAAATCAAATAATTTTGGCACAACTCGATTTAATACTTTACATTTGTAAGCAGCACTTAGAAAAATCTCAGGTACTGAACTACACATGTAAATGAACGCAGAAATCAAACCTCGTACCAGCAGCCAACAAAGCAGCAACCATTTCTCTTTTACCAGTCTTGGCAGCTTTCATGAGTGGCGTGTAATCTTGTTTATCTAATTGCTCAATATTTGCTCCATGGCTATAAGAAGGTCTAAAATACTGGCATTGTTAGAGTCGATGGATAAAAAAATGACTGGTGAGTTTGTGTCGTCGGAATGATTAGCATTTGCACCATGGTTGAGTAGGATTTGAACCAACTCTACTCGGCCAAATAACAGCTTCCTGGAGTGCTGCATTTAACTCTCCTCCCCGATCTGCTGCGGGAGAGCCACGCTCTAAGAGAAGCTTTACCAAGTCCACTTTGCCCTGTGAAAGCAACAAATAAAGGCACACGCCCACATTTCTCAGTATTGGTATTTGCTTAGTTAGGTGAAATAAGGTATGTGAAGAAAAGAGAACCAACCGGTGTTAAATACAGAAAAATAACTTAGGCAGCTTTTTAAACTAGGGAAAAGCTAGTTGATCTCGTACGAAATAAAATACTTGACTCACTGATCCGCATCCTAGAGTCAAAGCGGATTCCTTGTTTTCGTTTAGTTGAGAGCTTAAAATGGCGTTGCTGTCGAGCAGATGTCGAACAATCTCGGTACGACCTTTCATGACGGCCCGCATTAGT